CTCTGCCCACCACGGGTATCGAAACCAGGTTTCTAGCGTTGTAAGTCCGCAGACATACCACTGTGCCACTGGGTGCCCTCCAGGAAGGAAGAAAACTAAGTTTTTTTATTAGCGGTTCACACCATGATTTCTTCATAAATCTATATATGTCAAGTTTAATTCACTACGTCTATGCTATATTTTATGCAACTAACATCTCCAAGGGAAAGGGCGTGTTAGGCTTTGAAGTAGTCTTCTTTGACTTTTTTGTATATACATCTAAATACAGAGGTCGCTAATGTGACAAAAAGTTAATTAAGAGTATTTTAATGCACTTTCAAAACAGACTACATATTACTTACTCTTAAATTAATACAATTAGCTAAGGTTAAAAAGACGCGTGAATTCCTAATATTCTTTGAATCATAATTAATTTCCAGTTTTGGCTGAAAATGGAATGTTTAGCTTTCAGTCATTCTTTATTACTTGACTTTGGTGTGAAATGTTTGGTTTTCAGGCATGTCTCGTGGAAAGCTATTCTTTATATTGCTTGACTTTGGTGTAGAATGCTTGACAACTGGACTTCTATCTTCCTCACAGAAGCTAAAGCATCCAGTTCCTTTCCAAAAGAAGCTGGTATCACTGAAGTGTGATGCACATTCAGCTCTTGCACTGCAATTCGTGTATTACATTACACTTGCTTACTTTCCCGTGGAGGAGACAAACAATCAGAATGTTGTGCGTTTTTCATGCTTTGCTTAGGTTCATTTTTATTTTGGTTTGGTTTCCTACGGTTATCCATAAATTCATCTAGCATTATCTCTTCACAATTTGTTCTCTCCGTCGAACATTTCAAAGTGTGTGATGCTAATTCCACATCTTAATCAAATTCTATTTTCTGTTTATTTGTTGTTGTTGTTTTTTAGAGTTATCTAATCGTCCACTTTTTTATCCTCAGCTTCTTTGTACCCTATTGTCACTTGTGCAGACAAAATATGGTAGCACTTACCAGTACTTGTAATCTAACAAGTAAAGGCTCAGGTAGAAAATCTGACCTATCTATGCTTTTCACTACAAATTCTAGGATACAAGCTTTCATTCGTTATTTATATATGATGCTTCTGTTTTTTCGGTATTCCCAGCCTTTCATTCCAGGTCATCCACTCTTAGATTGTACAATTGTTTGTGTTGTTGTAATGACATAGAGGAATGTTGAGTTTTCTTAGGACTTCCATTAATAAGCTGTGCTTTTTTTTCCCCTATCATATTCAATGAGCCCATCTTTCTCCATTGTACTTTGTAGTCAATGGGCTTTCGGGTTTTCATTACTTTAAGTCTTTTTATTACAGTCTTTTTCACAGTGTTTTATATTTTTATTTTTTGTAATTGTATAGCAGTACAATCAAAAAGTTCTCGATAATGATCTTATAAAAGAGTAGACTACGTAAACAACAACAAAAATCCTAATTATCAATTCTCAACCGATACCGTAGGCCTAATTCTACACCGATATTGTAAGCCTAATTCTACACCGATACTGTAAAACTAATTCTATACTGATATTGTAGGTCTAAATTTTATACTGATATTGTAAACCTAATTAAGCTTAATTTATACTGATACTATAAACCTAATTAAGCCTAACTTATATTGATATTGTAAACCTAATTCCATACCGATACTGTAAACCTAATTAAGTCTAATTTATACCGATATTGTAAGCCTAATTCTATACTGCTATTGAAAGTCTAATTTATACCGATATTGTAAGCCTAATTCTATACTGCTATTGAAAGTCTCATTTATACCGATATTGTAAGCCTATTTCTATACTGCTATTGTAAGTCTAATTTATACCGATATTGTAAGCCTAATTCTATACTGCTATTGAAAGTCTAATTTATACCGATATTGTAAGCGTAATTCTATACTGCTATTGAAAGTGTCATTTATACCGATATTGTAAGCCTATTTCTATACTGCTATTGTAAGTCTAATTTACACCGATATTGTAAGCCTATTTCTATACTACTATTGAAAGTCTCATTTATACGATATTGTACACCTAATTCGATACCGCTATTGTAGGTCTAATTTTATACCGATAGTGTAAGCCTAATTCGATACCGCTATTGTAGGCCTAATTTTATACTGATAGTGTAAGCCTAATTCGATACCGCTATTGTAGGCCTAATTTTATACTGATAGTGTAAGCCTAATTCTAAACCTATATTGTTAACCTAATTAAGCTTAATTCTACACCGATAGTGTAAGCCTAATTCTAAACCTATATTGTTAACCTAATTAAGTTTAATTCTACACTGATATTGTGAACCTTGCTTAACCAAATTTTAAGTTCACTCTACTCCATTCCACGCAGTAGACAATTTATCACCTTCAAATAAGTAGAATAGCGACTTATATTTTCAGAATGTATCTTTACTAACGCAGTATTTCGCTGTTACAGATTCGAGAATTTATTAACGTTACCAGGGCTTTCGTGATTTAAGCCTAAACTTCAAGGAATTACTGATTGAGCACTGGGCATTTGTTGTATTTTTAAAAATTTAAAACTGTTTGTTCAGTTGTTGTTGTAAGTTGAGTCACATCAATTACATTCAATCGCTTTATGATACAAATCAATAACATTCGATATTTCTATTCATGATGTCAAAAAACACGTAGGTTCAAGAAGTTTGCCCCTGAAGAAGAAAGGGATTTTATCATCTGGTATTTGCTATATCCAGTCAGGTTTTGAGTTTAGTTGACAAACGACTTTGAAATAGCTCTTCGTATTCACTTACATTACACTAGCTAATCCATCCAACAGGTGTGAGAAAAAGGATGTAAGATATTGAAACTGTAACAAGGAAAATGCTACATGGGATGAGGGTGAAAGGATTTTCATTTTTCAAAGATCTTGGGTCAGATAAATCTAAAAATTCCTAGGTATTACAAAATATTTTACATTTTTTTTGTTCTGCTTTAACCTTTTATTAACATTCTTAATTTACTGAAAACACTTTTTTTTATTCTAGTCTTCCACTTCCGTGGTTTCTGGCAACCATGATTTTCGGTCCCGTTCAAGTTAGCAGTTCAGGGATGGCTTGTTCCATTTTTCTTTTGTTTTGTATGTTACTCTTCGTTATCGTATCCATTGCCTGCTTCAAGTGGAAGATGAACACCAGCCTCGCAGGTGTCATGTTGTTTCTGTATTTTGTATTTATAGCTATAAGTTTGCTTTTGGAGTATAACGTTATCAGTTGCACTGCCATCTTGAAATCGATTACAGGATAATTAACACAGCACTGAAATGATTTTCAAGTAGGCTTATTAGACACGCAAAGAAAAGAAGTACTGTATGTTGTTGTTTTTTTTTTAAAGTAGTTGGTTAAACTGTAATATTATTTCAATGATGATGAGGCTTAGTATCGAACGCGCAGAAATCAGAGTTGAACTCTACTGGTAAAAGTTAATTAAGTTGAACTGAAAAAATAGAAAGAAAATAGTTTAAATTTTAGATGTTGTGAGTTTCTTAGCAAGACATGCAATAACTGTTTAGTTAACAGATAAAAACATTTTTCTTCTAACATGCTTTTTCATATATGCACAGCGTTAACTTTCAAGGTTAACTTTGGTTACATCAGTAATACTATTGTAATCTATGACTTACTTTTCTTTGCTTGGTAAGTTTTAAATTTTTGATTTGTTTTAGAGCAAAGCCAAACAATGGGCTATTTGTGCTATGTCCACTACCGGGGAGAAAACCCGGATTTTAGCGCTGTAAGCTTGTTAAGTTACCACTGATTTACTGGGAGAGAAATTTTAAGTGTACAAGGAAATAACACGTTTGTGTACCCATTTCACGTTAAAAGTTTTATAACTTTATTTAAATATCGTTTATTGTGAAGTAAATAAGTTAATTAAACAGACACGGACCTAACGCCTCAAAACGAGGCTTACTTTGGTTAGCATGGTGACGTGATGTGTGGCGTGCAGCCCATCAGGGCAGGGACAAGTGTTCTATTATGAATGATTCAATTCGACTATTGCAAGCCTGAAATACTTTTTTTAGTAACGCACTGCTGATCTAGAGGTCAGCTGAACGCGGCAACTTGGAGCATTGCGTGCTTTGACAAACAAGAAAATGCGGATGTGAGCCAGATTACTGACCTGAAGATGAATGAAAATGTAATTTTCTATTATATTTGGCATAAGGCAGTAGCATTAGGCTTATTGTATTTTTAAACATTACCTTCTCCATGCTGTCTGTTAGAGGTTTCCCGAGAAGGGAAGTGTATAATAAGCAGTATTTCAACAACCGTGGACACGTTCCATTCGGTACCAGAGATTGCCATGCTGGTGGACATAACTCGCGAACTAGTGGTCAGAACGTTATTTATACAAGCCATTTGTTAGAGCTACAATTGTTGTAGTGTGCGCTGTCGTAGCACTATTGTAATAAATTAAACTTGTTCTAATAAGATGGTATTAGGCGGACTGTATTTCTAAACACAACATTAAATGAGATAAAAAATTCAAGTGGTCCACGAACAAAAAGTTTGAGATCCACTGTTGTAGGATTTTGTGTGTGTGTGTGTGAAATCCAGGTTGCCTGCTGCGGACATAGCACGCCACTGAGTGACGAAAAACTTTAATTTAAAAATTTCTGAAATAACATTAATTATATACTTAGAACAGGAGTTATGGCAAATATAAGTCTAATTATTATTTCTTAATAAAGGACCATAGCTACTATGTTCTCTTTCAAAAGATTTTCGAATAAAGCTTACTTTGAGTTTGTTTAGAAAATTGATTTAAATAAATAGATATTCTAACGAATTCGTTTAAATGTAACACAGATAAATAAGTGTGCATAATTTCACGTTTACGCACTGTATTACACCAAAATAATTAATTAAGAACATATCACAAATAGATGAAGAATTATTAGATAAAGAAAATGTGAATGAATTTGTCACGTTTGATGTGTGAAAACGTTAGTTTGTGATAAATTAGTAATGTCGTCTGTTGAGATTCATTAGATATCTATGTTCTAGTCAAATGATGCTATAATTAAGTATCAAAAATAAGCTTGCGAAAGTATACAAGGTGAAAGAGCTGTGATTGAACTGTGAGACACAGACTATAAACCTGAAAAGGAGTATTTTATCAAAGTCCTGAAAATTAGTAAACTCGGCCTTCCCTCTCCAAACAGTAATGTTCCAACAAATGCCATACAAAGTATTATACATTCACAGCTATTGGTATTGTAAAATTTGTAGCAATTTAAAGTTCTTAATATATAATAATATATTAATACATAAACTGATTTTTAATGGATTTGATGAGAATTGATTAAGTATTTTAGATTATTTTATAATAAATATAAAAAAATATTTATATAAATTTGAAAATATCGATTTAAACCAAATTATAATATACACAATGAAAATCATTTCTAAACTTTATTATAGGGGAAGTAATTGAAATTATTTATTAGACATTTCATATCTTATACAGGTGGATTAATATAGTTGTATCACCTTCCCTTTATAAGACCTGTTACTGTGTGGATCTCTTTAGAACCACTGAAGATCTAGATAGTAGCACGGAAGGGTGGAGGATGGAAGGTATACTGATAACTTAGGTTGGGCTTAATATACTAATACCTTAACATCTTGGTATTTATGTCCAAACATCATATTGGGGGCTGGAATGCTAATTTCAAGGGCAGCTTTGTTGTCTCCCCATTGATGTCTCGTATTCTAATTATTTCCTTCTTATTATTGTTTTTATTTTATTTATTTATTTTTTATGAGCAACCATCTTCCCACATCTGGCTGCAGACAGCAGAAGATGCTAATGATGTGGGACATTGTGGACTAGAGCACCACCTTTTGCTCCTTTACTTTCTTCACTCTTCTAAGCATGTGAGGTCAGCGAAGTTGAGGTTAAACTGGGTAGATGGTGTATCCCAAATGCAAGTTGGGCCTTACTTCCGAGTGTACCTCAAAAAAACCAAGGCACAATAACCGACCTTATGTCTCGGTGTTAAATATTTCTTTTGTGGCTGCGTTTTTTTTTTCTCTCTCTCTCTCCAAAAATTGCATTTAATCATATGCATGTATTTCATAAATTTGTGTGTTACCTATTTAGTTTTTTCGTAGCGAATTTAATATGATCAGCAAACTGTCTGATCCAGAGTAACTAAATTAACATTCACGCTAAACACATAATATTTGGTAAAGTTAATAACAAAAGCAAAATTAATGTTTATAATTGATGACCAAACTTAAATAAGATTCACTTATGGATACAAATAAGAAACATTGGAATATCAGACTTTTTTATATATTTTACTAATAAAAGAAAGAAAAAAGTATGATATTCCAGTGTTATTTTATATATTTATATCACTTCATTAACATTTTAAAATCGCTAATACTAAAATAAAAAACAACAATAGTTTAGAAAAATTTAAACTTTATTTTTTAGATTATTCATCATTACCCTTTTCCATTTTCGGCAAATCTCCTGGTATTCTTTCCAGTGTTGCCACCTACTGTTGTGTACGGATTTTATTCAAGTTTTTCAGTTTCGTATTTTTTCATTTTCTTATACTGCTGAAGGTTTTATTGGTTAAAAGTTCTAATAAATTTGTTGTTCTTATCAACAAAAAATGAGTTACTCTGTACAACTGTAACAAAAACGAATGTCTGAAACGTTTGCCACAAACTTGAAAAGCGCTGGTTTTTAAATGAAACTAGCTGGATTTCCTAAGCCTACGCCTTCATAAGTAACGAAATTGTTTTACTAGCGAAGATGAATGAGGAAATAACTGTTCTTAATAAACTAGGAGTATTTTATTATAAAGTTGTTTTTGCTATAAATTTTTCATTACTGAGAAAAACCATTTTATTGATATTCAACAACATGCTAGTTCTAGCGTCTGATTAAAAATAGGCTCGTTTCGTTTCTTGTTTCAGCGTACACGAGTAAATATCAAGTAAGATACCACATAAATCGTCTTTTGAATAATTCAACTATCTCAGGTTCCTAGATTATATTTTAGTAATTCAGTTGCATTTGTGTGGAACATAAAAAGTTTTATTCTGATCCAATAAAAAATTTAAAACTGTATATCAAGAGAGTACATATTTAGTGAAATCAGATATTTTAAGTGTTTCTATAATAAGCTTTTGATAAAGTTCAATTCATACCTAAAAAAGAAAAAAAAGTAACCAGTCTAGAAATATTTATGAAAAAGTTTTCTTTTTGTCCAGATTAGAGCTCTTCTGTAGAATAACAGTTTGATCAGAAACCAGTTTTCGATTTTTTGGGGTAAATTACAAATAACAGCAATATAAACAATTTTTAGAGTATTTATCGAACTTTGTCAGAAGTATTAAAGAGTAGATTTGGCCTAAGATGGAAAAAAAAAGGGAGTAAAAAAAATTTCCTCATGTAGATATTGTTCTCGTGGTAGATTTATTATGTATATTAGAATAATATTATTTATACACTTGTTGATGTTTGTTGTAGTATAGCATTTGTGAAAATATCGTTAAAGTATCATGTAAATATTACAGTATTTTTTTTTTCATTGAAGTAGTGAAATTGTGATGAAAAATATGGTGAGAAGTTTGTATTTATTCATAAAAATCAATAACGATATCATCAAATACAGCTGGCTACGAATTGTATTATTTCCTTTTAATTTCAGCATAGTTCTCGAAATAAGACAGTCTCGTTTTTTTTAAAGCGAAAGCTTCTATTAAAACGATTTAGTGCATCTGTTAATATGAGTTAAAACAAAAAGAGCAATAGGCCTAATATTTGTGATAAAAATCACATAAACTGCAGGCTTTTTTTGCTTAATTCTTGGTTTACTGAATTCGTTTTTTTCACCAACAAAAACCGATGTGCATGATTGTAACAAATAGAAGAAAAAAAGGCGAAATTAAATAAGCTATTTTTAAATTAAAATATTTTCAATAGAATACTAATTCATACCTTCTAAGTGGTCATTTATTTGCAAATATGACAAGCACCGGCATTTACCCGTTCATTCACAATGAATGAACAAAAGATGTAATATAAAAATCCAACCTGCAGGTTAGGTGATTTTTATCACAAATTTTAAGCCTATTGATTTACAATGCTTCTCCACCTTTAGGCGTTTGAAGAAGTCAATGGCATTATAACCATACAACAAAATTTAGTTACCATATTATATGTTGACTCAAATTTGCATTCTATATAATATTGAAAACTTTACTACTTCTAAAGCAAATACTAGTATTAAAATTGTATTGATGTCATAAGTGTGTGTAATTCTTTGTCAAATTTAGACTTGCAGATTGCTTTAGTTTAGGGTTACCAGATTTCCAGTGAAAAACTGGGACTTTTTTTTTTACATACGAGTAACATTGTAAAAGCTCTGAAGCAGTTTAAATTATAATAACACACTTTTTACATTTGCTAAATAATTTGGTGTTTATTGTATCGCTATTTAAAACCATAGACAAACAAAACATGTTATAGTTTTTAAAGTTAAAAAATAATAAGTAAAATAAAAAACGTACCTAGGTTGTTTTGAACTTACTCAAAGAAAAATGTTGCTTCTTCGTTTTTACGGTTGGGCAGGTCTTCAAATCTCAAATCCTGTGGTTGCCCAATGATATATTAGGTTTTAAAAAGTATCAGTGTGGGAGGAAACACATTACTGTGTAATTTATCTCTTCCAGGTGATTCTACATCAAACTTTAAAGGAGTGGTGTATAATGACAACCATACATATCAAATTCACACTAAAATATAGAAAAACTGACACAATTTAATACTTCTACCGTTACTGATTGGAACAAAAAAAAAGCTAAAACCTGGGACTATCCCAGTTTTATTAGGACATCTGGTAACCCTACTTTAGTTAACACTTCTGGAACATGGATGCAACAATATCATTTAAATTAAAAGATCTGTTGCATTTTCCTTGAAAGTTTATAGGTGACATCACGCCTGCTTAGTAATAAATGTAAACAAACTAGAGGTATATATAGGAAAGCTGATTTAGTTTGGCTATCAGAATAGAATCTTAAATAAATTGAATCTTATTATTGGAATGTTATTTATCAATTTCTTACTAACATAGACCATGCTTCACAAATTCGACCAAAAAACAAAAAAAAAAAACAGCGGTAAAAATGTCGTGGAAGAGGTTCTTTCGTTTTAACAGTAGTTTTATGACTATAAAAATATCTAAAAATTATAGTTAACACTACTGAAATATCCATAAACCATTAATGTTAATAATCAACAAACTTCTTATTTACATTGACATCATGATGATTAAACACTTTTGTAGCTATAAATATTTAATTTATCCAATACTTGTTCTACATATAATATTAGTCATAAATGATTAGAATTGACCCTCAGACCTTACAAAGTATACACTAGAGGTCGCATACGACGGCATCAGGCAAGATAATGCTACTGCAGTTAATCTAAATAACTAACAAGTTAGCACTTAAAAAAATGAAGTAATTATAATAATACTCTAAATACTTCTAAAACAAAGATGACATATTTTATGTAATGTATACGCTACTTATATACTATTTGAAACTTGTATATTATTTTTGTTTCGTAAATTGGTACAAACTACGCGAGTGCTAGACTTCGCTAGCTGTTCCTAATTTTAAACTGATAGACTTAAGGGCAGGTGGCTAGTCAACAAAAGCCACCGCCAACTCTTGGACTACTCTAATCGAATAGTGAGATTTGACTCATCCTTATAACGCACCCACGGCCTCAAAATGTAAATAAAGTTTATGTCACAATGTACCACAAACCAAGAACCCTCAGATTCACAGTCCACCATGTTAAACAGTAGGCTACACTTGGTATTTAAACTTCTGTCTAATGTCTTGGGGTATTCTCGGTTTTCCCTCAGAGTAGCCTGCAGGAACCGAAAAACAAAAAGATTTGTCCGATTTGGTATTACAAAGTAGTGCTTTGATTCCCTCTGACTAAGTCTTTACATAGAAGAAAAAAACTGGACACGGGCTGTAAACAATCACGATCTTCATTACACAAAAACGGTCAAAGGCAAATTGAACACTTAGACAAGTGCTTTGTAATGTGTGTATCAAGTGGAGAGAGAGAACTTTATTTGTGTTTTCTTGCCATTTTAACTCTAACTATTGATGCTAAAACGAAACTATAGTAAAATATCACACAAAGCTACACATGGGCTAGGTATGCCTGGCTATTTTTAGACTAAGAACGAAGGTGGCCCCGACCACCAACTCTACCCTAATCTTCGATGACGAGGAACCCACTTTGAGACTAATAATGGCTGGAGACGGCTTAAAATGGGTAATGAAAGAAAAACTTTAAAT